GTAGCAATAATGGTGGCACAATGTGAAAAATGTCATCTATGTCCCTGAGCTGTAATGTTGGTGAATGTCTTGTGGTGTATGTTTTCATTCAATAATATATATATAGGAGCTCTGGTAGCATAGTGTAGTGCCTAAGGCACTTGACTGCTACCAGAAGGCTGGGGGTTCAAACCCACCAGCCACTCCTCGGAAGGAAGGTTGGGCAATCTACTTCCATAGTGATACCACCTCGGAAACCCAAGAAGGGGTTGCTATGAGTTGGGTCCAACTCGATGACACATAACATATATAAATAAAACTCCCCAAACCAAACTCACTGCCATCAATTCGATTCCAATTCATAGCAACCCCCATTGGGTTAGGGATCTACAGAAGTAGATCGCACCATCTTCCTTCCTCGGAGTGGCTGGTGGTTTGAACCAGTGACCTTTTGGTTAGCAGCCAAGTGCCTTATCCACTACATCACCAGAGCTACACACACACACATACACACACACATATAATTTCTAAGCTGATAGGTGGGCAATTAAACATAGACACGTGTCTGAAACTCCAAGTACAGACCTTCATTGGGTTCACCTCCTTCACCATCTTCTCTCCCTGGAGAGGCAGGAGGTGGGAGAGGAGGGAAAATTTCATCTTCCACATGCTCATAATCTGGTAATTCATTCTCCTGTGGTTCCAGCATCTTTTCCTCTAGGGACAACAAAAGCAAAAATATTTTTTATTTATCCAAATAGTCTTCCTGTTACTGTGAAGTTCCACCTGAAGCAAAATTCATGTGTTTCAATCAGTTAACCCACATTTCAAACTCACAATTCATGAAAATAGACAATGATGGGGGAAAAATAACTGGGCTAGAAATCAAAAGAAATTAATTTTAATGTAGACTCTACCAACAAATAGCTACATGATACTGATTTTTACAACTGTTCAATTTCCCCTACCATAAAATGATGTTTCTGACATTTCAGAGGGTTTCAAACTGGGATCCAAATAGGTGTGATAAAGGCAAGGCTATAGGTTCCTGGATGGCACAAATGGTTTACACTCCACTACTAACCAAATGTTTGGCAGCTGGAATCCACCCAGTTGGCACTGCAGAAGAAAGGCCTGGTTAGCTACTACTGTTAAGATTACAGCCATTGAAAATCTCAATGAGCACAGTTCTTCTCTGAAGTAGGTTGGTGTGATAGTTTGAGCTGTGTGTCAACTTGGCTGGACCACAATTCTGTGTGGTTTAAGCTGTTGTGATGTGGTTATTCCCATGATGGGATCAGATGATTATGTTTTGAGCAGCCAATCTGTTGAAAGGGAGTTTCGCTAGGGGTGTGGCGTGCTTCCAGTATATCTATGGACATCCTGGGAAAAGAGACATTCCTCTGTGGACCGGGATTCTGTTGTGCTGCCTACAACTGTCCATGAGCGAACAATCCACCATTCAGCCTGGAGATCTTGAAATGATCATTCACTGGAGTCAAAAGCCAGTACACTGCCTGCCAACTTTGAGCTCCACAGCCCCTACAGCTGCAAGAGTCGGGAAAAGCCTCCAGCTTGACGTTTGTCCAAGAACTTTGGACTTGCCAGCTTCTGTTAGTGTGTGAGCCGTTTTCCTAAGATAAATTTCTCTCTATATATATAAGTTTAATTGGTTTTGTTTCTCTAGAGAACCCAGTCTAACACAGTTGGGTTGCCGCGAGTCAGAAGTCAGGTTTTTGGACAGGTATCTGGCTTCAACCAGGGGAAGAGTTTAAAACAATTTAAAAGTCTTCTAGGAAAGATTTTCTTTGAAGAAATGGAAATAATCTTCAGGTTGATGATTTAAAAGAATGTTTTCCAGTGCCATCTTACGTGACCCCTCAGCAAGATCTGACAATTTTTATCAGTCAAAATTGAGTTTTCTTGAAAAATGTTTTCCTTAACTTCTAAATACAGTACTCAACAGGTTTTCCTCCTTTTCTGGACACTTCCTGGATCATCTCTGCAGGGTTATCTTCCTCTAACTTGACCAGTAAAGGCTACATCCTAGGCCCTCCTTGCTCATACACGCACGTGGCATTAATAAGCATTACTTATAGATGACTAATTTTTATCTCTAGCCTAGGTCTCCAGATCTTTACTTTCCACTTGAGAGTCCTTCAATAAAACTCCTCATATACAAAACGGAACTTTTAAATTTCCCCAATTCAGTGAACAACATCTACTCAACTATGGAAGTCATTCGTGATGCTTTCTTCTCTCCATTCCCTATACATTGTCCATTTCATTTCCTAAATATTTGTTAAATCTGCCTATTTCTCCCCATATCCACCATCACTTACTATTTCTTGCTTGGATCACTCCATTACTCCCATTCACTTGTGCCTCCTTCAATCCACTCTACATTATTATAGCTAGACATTTGGAAATGCAAATCTAGTCACATTACCATAAGGCTTAAATATTTCAGTGGCTTCCTACAGGTCTTAGGACAAAGTTAAAATCCCAAAGTCCTGCCTGGTCTGGCTTCTTACTACCTCTCTCACCTCAATTCTCACCACCCTCCATGTTCTTTTTCTTCTAACTACATTGGATTTCTTTCAGTTCCTTAAAATAAGCTGTATCCCTCAAGCCAATGGATCTTTGGAAATGCTTTTTCCTGTCTCAAATGCTCTTCCATCTGACTTCTAATCTCTTTCACAACTTAAATCTCAACTGTCACCTCCTCATAAAAGTCTCCCCAATTTCTCTACATTACATCCTCCTATAATATGCCATTCATAGTTATCAAGTGCCTCTTCTTCATAGCACTTATCCAGTTTCATTATTAGGTCCCATTTGTGTGAGTATTCGATCAATGTGTGTCTCCAGTACTAGACTGTAGCTGTAAAAGGTCAAAGGCCAGTAGGTCTGTCTGTGCTCACCATTGTATCCCCAACACTGATACACAGTAGGTGCTCAATAAATATTTGTAGAAAGAAAGAAAGAACTCCAAAGCTTCCCCAAAACTGTAAAACCACTGGAGTTAGAAGATCTCTAAAGTCTCTCCAATTCTAAATTTCTTTGACAGTAAGTACTTAAAAACAAAGTATCAACTCCTGATGATTACCAACTGTATTGTCAAGTAATGTACAAGAACCATCCAAGGCTTTTCAAAATTGGGAAGGCAGCTAGAGGTCAAATATTCTAAAGCAGCTTTCCATCTTCAAGAATATTTAGCCCCATTCTGGTAAGCCCTCTGGAGAGAAGTAGGGTTCAGATCTTTGAGACCGTCAGCGATCTTTGACTAAGATGACGGGGTACAAACTATATTAAGTGTTGCTGTTAGTTGCAGTTGGAACTCTAAAGTTGGGCTTCTCAGTAAACTGTTTTTTTCTTTCAATGTTGTAGAAAATAAGATAACTGTACTTTTCACTTCTTGACAATGGTCACACGCTATTTCATTTCAGACATTGATAAAGTTGTTTTAACTCCCCCCTCTAGTTCTCAAAAGGAGCTCTGGTAGCATAGTGCCTAAGGCACTTGACTGCTCACTAGAAGGCTGGCGGTTCAAACCCACCAGCCACTCCTCGGAAGGAAGGTTGGGCAATCCTACTTCCGTAGTGACACTGCTTCGGAAACCCAAGGAGGGGTCGCTATAAGTCGGGGGACGACTAGACGGCAAACAACAACTAGTTCTAAAAAGGAATCCTGGCAGCACAATGGTTAAGCACTAGGCTGCTAACCAGAAATTTGCCAGTTTGAACCCACCCATTCACAAGAAAAAGGCCTGGTGATCTGCTCCTGTAACAATTAAACCAGAACCAAACCTACTCAGATGGAGTCAATTCCTACCCATAGCGACCCTATAGGGTTTCAAGGCAGACTGCCTCATCTTTCTCCCGCAGAGTGGCTGCTGGGTTCTAATCGACAACCTTTTGGTTAGCTGCCGAATGCTTTAACCACTGCGCCACGAAAACTCCTTTCCGTAAAGATTACAGCCTAGAAAACCCTATGAGGTAATTTTACTTTGTCACATGGCCACTATGGGTAGAAATCGCTCCAGGCCCCTAACAACTTAGTCCTTAAACTCCCGAAGGAGTGAAAGTAACAAAGAGACTTAATGTCTAACTCACAATTAGCTTTCCCATGTCCAGCTCTTCCCAGATATCAAAATAGAACTCCCTCAATGTCAAGGGGTACCTCGATGTCGCCATTTGCTACAGCCCTAAAAACACCAATACCTCTCGCCTCTTCCCTCTTCTATTCCAAACTTCGCTCCTGTCACCAACCTCATTCACTCATTCAACCTTAAAGGGGCGCTACGTTTAGAAGACCCTGCACAAAGCTGGAGCTGGAGCGATGTAGTATCAGAAACACGGTTCCCTCCCTCTTAAAAGGTTCAGTTTAGTGAGAAGCAGACCCGGAACACAAACAGGAAATATTACCCGCTCTTGTCCCCACCGTCTCTTCTCCCCACCAGTCTAGGCCAGTCTAGTATTCTCCAGTCTCCGCTAAGGCCGCGTCCGCCTTGGTTCTGTCCCCTAGCCTCCTCACACCCCTCCTGCAAATCTCCAGCTCTCCGGTTCCTCTGCTTGGCTCGCAGGGCCGCCGCTCCTCTCACTAACCTTTTTTGCCCAACAGCGTGCTCTCATCTCCCGCAAACCGCAAGCAGCCACAGCCCAGTGTTTGGCGTGGCGGGGGAAACCTCTGCTCTCGCGAGACTCGTGCTTCACGCCGCGAGATGAGCCCTCAGCTTTTGGCGCCAAACCTGCGGACCGCCCTTGGGCGGTACGTCAGCGAGTCCAGCCTGTTATGGGCTTGTGCACCCATGCCCATCCCGGACGGTTCTCCTGTCTCATCCCTTCCACCACTTTCGCCTTTCGAACATCCTATTGAAATTATAAATTCTTTATTTGCATCAAGGTCATATTTGTCACGTTTTAGGTATATTGTTGTTATTATTGTATGCCAGCCAATAGATTCTGACTCATAGCTACCTTATAACTGTCCCATGTTGTTGTTGTTGTTGTTGTTTGTTGTTATGTGCCATCGAGTCGGACCCGACTCACAGCGACCCTTTCTTGGGTTTCCGAGACAGTATCACTACGGAAGTAGATTGCCGCATCTTCCTTCCGAGGAGTGGCTTGTGGGTTTGAACCAACAGCCTTCTGGTTAGCAGTTAAGTGCCTTTAGGCACTATGCTACCAGAGCTCCCGTTGTTGTCATTTTTAGGTGCCCTGATTCATAGTGACCCTATGTACAACAGAACAAAACACTGCTAGGTCTGGTGCCAGTCTCACAATCCTTGCTGTACCTGAGCCCATCTGGCACTCACTGTGTCAATCTATTATCTCCTTGCGAACCTTCCCCTTTTTCGTTGATGCCCCACTTTACCATGATATCCTTCTCTGGGGAATGGTCCCTTGTGACAACATGACCAAAGCAGGTGAGAAGAAGTCTGGCATTCTTGCTTCCAAGGGGCATTCCAGCTGCACTTCTTCCAGGACAGATTTGTTAGTTCTTCTGGCAGTCCATGGTACTTTCAGTATTCTTCGCCACAACTCAAAAGCATCAACTCTTCAAGTTTCTTTAACTGTAATCTTTATGGGAACAAGTTTTCTCCCTAGGAGCTGCTAATAGGTTTAAACTTCCCATGCAGGAGCAGCTGACACTTAACCATTGTGCCACTAGGGCTCTTTTTAGGTACATTCCACTGCCATGAAGTTGCTTT